CGTTTGATACTCCAAATTAACTACCTCCACCCTGGTGTCAGAAAATTTGGCCAGACCAGTTAGGCTTTCTATGGTAATATCCAATAAATATTCATTACAATCGAGAGAAAAAGAGAAAGACCTGTAACACAGGTCCAAACGCCTCCAGAGAAATCAGAATCCTTGCTAAGTTTTAGACAAGGCAATTGAGATTGCTGGTTTGGGAACTTTAAGCCCCAGTTGATATTTGAGTGATGGAAGCCAGGTCCTGATTTCAGCTCGAAATTTGAAGAGCTATTTGGCCAGATCACCAAATTTAAAAGCTACGTTAGCAGTTCTTTGGGAGCAACAAAAAATAATGAAGATGAAAATTTTTCGAGGAGTAAGGACACAATAAACGTCAAGACAAAAGTAATTTATCAAGCGCCTCTTTTGGCCATGGCATTTTACTTTCAGTTGCTACAATCTGATTGGTGGGTAAACTGGTAGCCTGATTGTTAAAATTTGCGTTAGTGCAACGAGACATCAGAAAACCATATTATACATGACACATATGGACAGTTTCTTGTCTTATCTAGTTGAATAAGCCAAAAATAGTTTAAAAAATCAGGCTGTTGAAGAAGTTAGGGCATTGGACGAGACTAAAATTAAACGGGAAATCGAATCCTTCAAATCCTGCATTGACTAAACTGAATTGAAATTATCCACCTGACAAAAACAACAAACAAAATGCAAAATGAAATTGCTACTTCAACGAAACATACAATTCTAACAATCGGATTCTGTTCTGAAAACATATATCTCTGAAAAAATCCTGTGGCAGTGAGCATCTTACACAGAATCAAATGAGAGAATAATAAAATCCATCGAAACGCGTCGACATAAAATATATGAAGTGAAAGTGGTGAGTTTTTAAAAAGTAATTTTTAACCATTTTACATAAAGCTTTCACTGTTTGTTCAAATTGTTTAAAAAGAAAATCCATACCTGGTTTTTCTGCCCAATCCTGTGAGCTCGGGCTTGAGCTTGGAGATCATTTTGCGGGTTCCAATCAGAGTCGAAAATAATCACAGTGTCTGCCGTCGCTAAATTGATTCCTAATCCACCCGCTCGAGTCGACAGTAAAAAACAAAAATCGTTTGAGTTCTCAGCATTGAAATGATCCAACGCCTGTCTCCTGATCTCTCCCTTGATGCCTCCGTCCAACCGTTGGAACGGGAAGTGTCGCATCTGCAAGTATTCGGCTAAAATATCCAACATCCTCACCATCTGCGAGAAGATGAGGACACGGTGACCGGTCTCTTTCAGACGGATCAACAATTTGTCTAGAAGCACCAATTTTCCAGAGCCGCGAATTAGATTCTGAAAAAATTAGACAATGATTTACTGACGATCTGGATTTTTAGAGTTGAGATCCTGGAGGATCAGCTTTTAAAAAGACTTAAATCTACAACAAAGCCTGAAATTTCACACTTAGATGTGGGATATCTAAAAGTTGGACGATAATATCTACCTTACAAAAAGCTTCCACACAATCACGAGGGAAATTTGGCAATGACTAGAGGTTTATACAACGTCCTACTTGAGCATGGCACAATAATTCTAAACAGAATTTTGCGGGAGGGGCACAAAGCCTTTCGCCCTGATTTTTTCAAAATCAGCTCAATGTGACTTTGTTTTTTTCTGCTTGACAGGTCCATTAATGGACAAAAACAAAGAGAGGATTTGAAAATTAACAATCTTACCTGTAAATATTCTTCCGAATTACTTCTGCTATCTGGATTCGACTTGGTTAGGAGGGCATGATTGCAGCATTTCTTTAATTCTATCACTATATTTAAAAACGTCCCGGTCGAGCCTTTTGCACCTTTTCGCAATGCGTTGTAATTTTTCGTTAAGATCCATTTGTAATATTGTTTTTGTATAGAGGTCATTTCTACTCTCAAAATTTGTTCCACCTGAAAAAGAAAGGATTGGAGAAAAATTGTAAGAAGTGAGCATATTTGAGAAAAAGCAAGTAATGGATGAAAATAAACTCACAAAAATTAGCTTACCGTCACTCAGAAAAAGGAAATGTATTTTCAAAGAGGTACAATAAAAAAAAAGTTTGCTTGAAACTAATTTTTAAGGAATGTTTACAGGCATCTACAGACTTTGAGGTTAAAAATTCGCTTACGTAGCCACGTTTCTCCTGAACAAATGAATCCGAATTCCCTGACTTTTCACATTGGTAATTTGGACTTGTAGAACTGAAAATAAAGAACCGGCGCTCTGCTTCGCGCCAGACTAAAACCAAATCTCATTGCGTGGTTTTCATAGGGTTACATTCAAGTTGCCTGCAGCCCTATGATAGAAACTATGTTGGCATGACAAGACAAAACATTTATCTTAACCGTGTAATCTATCGCATTTTCATGTCTTATCAGGCTGCTAAAGACTTTCAATAATCGGTCTCCTGGTTGGACTCTACATTAGCTTCTTCCATGAGCAGTTTTCTGGTGGTGTTTTTTCATTCAAAATGTGAAAGTTTTCAAAAACAAATAAACAATTTAAAAAGAAAAAAAATTGAAATGAACAAACCTTTGCAGGCAAAGATTTTTCTACATCCTTTTTCACTCTCCTAAGAATGAAAGGTTCTAATTGTTTATGGAGCTTTGCATAGCCTTTGTTTGCTGCGTTTTCATGCTCCTTTTCAAAATCTTCCCATGAAGAAAATCTGAAAAACACATCAAACCAATTAATTTAAAGTTTAAATGAAGTACTGCAGCTAGTTTGATATGAAGCTTAACGTGAACAAAGATCTCCTTTTTTTTTTTATTTTAACATTGAAACTAAATGAAGGAGTCCTGACGGCAGATCGTCTATCTTGGTGGGACAGCTAAATTGATTTTGACGTTTCCAACATACTTTTAGTATCACTCAAAATTGGACTATGTTAAACAGAAAATGACAAAGTTACAGAAGTCATTGCCAAATTCCATTGAAAAATATAATTTTTGAAGGAGAGGGTTGAGTGGATTATTAAGAAAATTTCGGGGAATCAGCATCGTGTCACAGAAGATGTCCCCTGAAATTTTTAGAGAACCTACACTTTCGTTCTCAATTTAAAACTACATTTTTCAATGGAATTTGACAATGGCTGCTGTGATCTTGTTCTCCTCTGCTCACTGTTGTCCGATTAAGAATGAAAACACCAAAGAAAGTAAATCAAGAGATATCAGTATTGCTGGTGGATAGAAGCTGTGGGCTTATGATATTGATTTTAGGTATAAGTCTTCGACAATGGTTTAAAAATTGAATAATTTCACTAGTCGTTAGAGGAAAGGATGGCGTTGTCAAACAGTTCTAATCCATGCTGTTCATTAAAACTGATCTGTCTGCACTGCCAAGTTTTACATCATTCCTTTAACTGCTTTTCTGGTGAAAAATTTTAACATCATTGATCAAAATTTTGAGTGTTTCTTTGCCGTCAATGAGTGGCAACATTGATTCCAAAAAAGCTTGACCAACAAACAAAGTTCATCTAAAAATAAGCTTCAGTGCAAACTCTTTTCTGATAAGCAGTTCAATCCATGGCGAGACCTCGATTTATCAGAACACAATTTAACAGATTTGGCAATTTAATGGATCAATCTTCCTGTTCTTTCAAGGGCTTCAATCTATTCGAATTAACTGATTCCGCAATTTAATGGATTGATTCATCAGTCCCGTGAAATCCCATGAATCAAGGTCAAATGAGGGAATTTTGAAGAGACAAAAGTTTGCAAGAAGATGGACTCACTTTTCAGGCATGATGAAATGGAGAAGGGCCCAGAGTTCTTTCAGACTGTTCTGTAATGGCGTACCAGTGATTAATAACCTATGGTTTGTCTTGAATTCAAATAGAGCTTTGTACAAAAGCGAGTCATCGTTTTTCAAACGATGCGCTTCGTCTACCATTAACACAGCCCAACTTATGCTACCTAAAAATGCTTTATCTTTCAGCACGATCTCGTAAGTAGTTAAAATTGCATTGAACTTGAGCCTCTTGGAGCCGAAACACCACTCATAATCTCGAATCTGTAATCACACAGAAGGCTATAATGAGAGCATTCAGGATGAAAAATGAATTGTTTAAAAAGACAATAACCAAAAAGGCACTTTAATTTAAAATGGAATACATTTTGCAATTCGGAACTACAATTTTGGGCATTCACAAACAACTTATCATTAGTTTCCCGATGTAGATAGGTCCTTTTGTGGGAAAGCCAAACTAAGCAGTTCCTGATTGCAAAGTGTAGTCCATTTTCGGGCAAAAGGATGGAGTTTTTAGGTACATTTTGCAAACGCGTTGACAGGGCTTACATTTTCAAGGTGAAGCTTTTTGAAAGTGTGCACCTTGTTGAAGTGTTTTAAAGTTCATCCAAAAATTTTGGCTGAATTATTAGAGACCTTTCCATTGATTTCTAAATCATAAGCTGCTGTAACATGGAGTGTTGATTCAAGTAACTAATAACATTCTGCGTACAAGTTCATAATGGGATTAAATTTTGCAATTATGAACAATAATTTCTGACTCATTTTAGAAACAACGTAAAAACCATTTAGAACCTTGTGCACATAAGTAGTTTTACGGTTTAGCCAGGAAAGGTAGCTCCTAATTGCAAAATGTTGTCCAATGGACCCATTTAGCCAGCCAAAAGTCTCTATTTTGGAATTAAGAAAGATTACGACCAGGACGTGGCAGTTTTTATTGCAAACAAGGGCAAAAGCCATCGATCGAGAAAGTATTGTATCCAACTAATGAGATGCGCCAGGAGATAAAATGGTAATATTTTTCAAAGCACCTCAAATCTATCAAGCTATTGCTATTCTGTTGTTTTAAGTGAAGAGAGGTCAAGGTGAAACGGAGATTACTTTCTAGTATTAAAATAATACAGGCTAGGTTTTCTAACCTTTAAAATGTCGTACATTACTCAACAACTTGGCCAACACATACTTTAAATATTGGATCAAAAGAAAGATCTATAGCTGAGCAACTTACGATATTTCGGGAGCTCACATCCCCCAAGTATGTAACAACATTCATTTCTGGCGCCCAGAGCTGGAATTCTCGCTGCCATGATGTCATTGTGGAAAGAGGAACAACTACTAGAAACGGTCCATACACTTGATATGCATGGAAAAGGTAATATAAACTACAAATGGTCTGAAACAAATAAAAATTTTAAATAAGCATTAACCAATACAAAGGAGCCCCTTATGGCTCATTATGTGGTTTTAGGTGAATTAAGACCAATTTAGGGCTATTTGGGCCAAACTGACGTTTATACAGATTAATTTGCTGTCGGACGAAAAAAAAGAAAGCGAAGATTTGAGGTTGCCGCAGAGTTTAGGAAATGAATTCCCTAAAATTTTCTTGATTTCTCAGACACATTCTGGTAAAATTTCCTGACAATTGAAGATATGCTGGATGATTAGAAATACATAATTTGCAAGTTTTTAGAAAAAAATTACTGTGCAAAACGTCAAACCCATTCTAAAAAGCAAAAGAAGATGCCCCGACAATTTTTTCCTGACATTTTTCGGTTTTCCCAGTATTCCTTGACTGTAGCAACCCTGAATACTGATTTCAGGATAGCTTATTTAGGCTTAAAAATATTGAATTCTTCAAACTTGAGCTGTGAATGTATTCTTCAGAATTAATCAGACCAAATGATATGCGCTAAAAGAGCTAGCTTACTTTCTTTGCTCAAAATTGAGCAGAATTTTGAAATAAAAGACGTGAAAAGGATGCTTGACTGACCCAAAATCTGATGAACAGAAGAGAAATCAAGTTAAAATCTTACCTGGATTGTTTTTCCCAGACCCATTTCATCTGCTAAAATAACGGAATTTTCTTTGCACCAAGAATGTATGAGCCAATTAAGACCGTGCATTTGATAATCTCGAAGAACTAAAACTTGATCACCACCCATATACTCGGGCTGCGTCATAATTTCTCTGAATTTCGGTCTCGTTTTCAGTGCTTTGCACAGTTTGGATGGTGTCCGTTTTGAATCTTCTCGCTCCCGGAATTCCGCTATTTTTTTCGGCCACTTCCTTTCGATCAAAGCGGCATCTTCCCACGTTGCTTCTGAATATGGTAGCGATTCCCATTTCAAAAAATATTCATGAGCACCATTCGCTGATGATTCGGCTAAAACACAGAACAGGAAAGGACAGGTTAAAATATTTAGCTTTACACGTTTGGCAATGCTGAAATGCATAAATGATTTCACTACTGAAAACTGATTATAAATATTTAATCCATAAAACCTGAATTTGAGATAAAACGTCTTTTTGTTGATGGACAAGCCATTTTAAAGTGCAAGTGATGCAAGTGCCAACCAGCGCAGCACATTGGCTGGAGCTCGACACTGTCACGGCTACGTAAGCCGCGAGCTCATCTCACTTGCACACTCCGCGCCCGTCAGTAACACGGGACTCACATCGCACTGCACCCAGCGGACCTCATGCAGCCGGCCGGCTTGCCCTTTCCAACGGCCCTTCTTAGGGCCACCACACGATGAGCACCTCTCATGGCTCAGTCCATACAGGTTAACATCAGCTTGGAAAGTAAATCAGTTCTTTTGATGCATTTGTAGGATAAACATGTTTTTGATTTAAAAACGTTCAAAGAAGCCTGACAATACTTTTACCGTGAATTTAACATAGTGTACATAGAGTTGTAATGTTAATGGGAGACCTGGCATCATGTATTGGTCGACAAGTTCTTAGCCCGGTGTGCGCTGAGCTTTGGTCACTTTTTCAATACATTTTGGATCCAAAATGGTGATGGCAGTGTAGAATTTGTAATAATTCATATCCTCTTTGTTTACATCGGATGGCCGGGGCACCAAGTATTGAAATTAATCAATTGTATCAAAAAAGTGACCCGGCGTGAATCTGGAGTCTCAGAATTTGAGACCTAGAAAATACTTAAAAGTGACGCCAGCTCTCCCACCATTATTACGACTCTATGTAGGAAAATTCTATGGAATTTAATTCTGCATAATACTGAACTGAAAATTCTGCATAATTCTGAGCAAAAAATATTCTTTTCGTGAAACCTATTGTAACAGGCAGACACAGATTTTAGTTCTACATTGATATGAGATATTAGATCGATAACTCACCGATAATCCTTTCGACTTGATTATAACTCTTAAGAAGTTCTTGTTGAAGCTCCTGCTGACACTCATAATATTCGTAATCTTCTGGTGTAGTGTGCTTTCTCCACATAGCTATTTCATCTTCTCGCTTGAGAAAATTCTCTACTTTCTTGTATCCTTTAATCTGAAAAAAAAAAAAAAAAAAAAAAAAAAAAAAAAAACATAGCAAAGTCATAAGTTTGTTCTTTGCAACCAGCAAAACCAGACCATGCTGTTTTTCGAAATTCTATTTTCGAAGTTCTGCCCTGAATTTAAACTCTTTTGTGCAACAGAGTCTTAGCAATGTTGCTCTGTTTATATGTCCCGGCTGGTCTGAACCGATTTTAACAGAAACGCCCCAACTTGCATCAAGTTTGAACAATAAAACAAGTTTGCAGTTATTTCTTTGTTAAACTCAATGTTAGAGGCAGAATTGAATGACTGTTTACACATTCCAAATATTTTTTTTTTACTCGGAATTTTTAACAGGACAGTGTGGAACTGATTAACCTCTTTGATTTGACTGGGTTGACCAATTTTCCGGAAAATTCATCAACTTTTCCGACTTCAACTGCAAGATAATTTTGAAAACTGGCCAATAAAAGAATAGAAAATGTTTGAAATACTTACCTTTGGGTCTTTGAGTGTGGCATCCGACTCCCAAGTGTTGTGTATGTGCGACCAGCCTTTCCATTTGATTAAATATTGAACTTCAGTATTTTCTAAATCATCAGGATCACAGCCTTCATTAGGATCTCCATTCTCTTCAATTGCATATATTGTCGTTTGATTTCCGACAACTGAGAAAAAATTGACGATGCAAAATTAGTTTCAGATTTACCTGGACTCATCGGATCACTGCTAAAATATTCCTCATTATTTTAGCAATAGACGAATATAGAATGATAAAAAATTTAGGAGAAGGGTTGCGACTTATAGACAATAGTCCCCTAGGAATACCTAGGGGACAAATTATTGATCTGATCAATACGAAGAGGGCTGTCTCACATTACTAAAATTGCAGCCCATCCTATTTGATAATGTTCATTCAGAGCTCTTAAAAGCTTCACAGGGGCCTAGTCTAAATTTCATCGACAAGCATTGAATTTTACAGCAATGGTGAGACTGCTGAAATGCGTATCTTGGTTTCAGTGTTTTCAAATCTCTACACCTACTTTATTTTTTAAAAGAAGACATAATCAAAGTCATCGTTTGAAATTTTCACGGAATGTATCTCACAAGGAGAAAAAAGTCACCGTAGTTTTCAAAGAGCGACATTAATTAATATTCCCTAAGAAAAATAAAACAAAAGTTAGGCGAAAAAAAACTTTTCTAAAGACAAATACCGATGTATTTTGGCACAAAATTAAAGAGAACAGTGAAAATATTAAACTTTCAAAGAGGATGAAAGAGACAACTGACCTCCTTTCTTTCCACGTCGTGTTGATAAAACCTTTTCGATGGTTTCAAAAGATTCTGTCGGAGTCTCTTCGACTTGAGCATACTCTACATCTACATCAACTAGATCTTCTGATTCTGTTGGGTCATCACTAGCTTCCTTGTAACTGACAGCTGTCGCCCGCCTGTTTGAATTCCTAAGAACGAGGAAAAGATAGCATTGAAGTCTTAAATAGAAAATTTGACAAAAAGAAAAATATACCATCTACTGGAAATTTGTAAATGAGATATAAAGGAAAAATTTACCTCTAATACTTTAAAATTTTAATATTACTTGAACATTTTCTCTGTATTTTCATTAAATTTTTCTCAAGTTTTCATAGCAAAAAAAGAGTAATCTTCCGCAACTTGCCAATAAGGTAGTCAAATTTTTAAATTTTTTAGTTCCATCAGTTGAATCCCAACATTCCCTGGCATAAAGAAAAAAAAATGTTCTTATTTCGGGCATCTTGGATTTGATTGGTGAAGTAGGTGGGCACAGACGCTTATCGTCACTATTGGGTGGTTAATGGAAAAAAGTCATTCTATGTAAAGTGTTTGATAATATATTTATAGTTGAACTAAGCAAAAAAAAAAACAAAAAAAAAACCAAAAAAAAAAACCGACTTCATGATCATTTTTCATACTGTTAATTTCAGATTTTGCTGAAGTATCGATGCCATACTGCACCCGCCTACGTCATGGGGAAAACAAATTGTAATCAAACACCTCCCCTTCTTCCTCTAAGACTTTCTAGTGTTTTTACAGAGTTCCCCCAAAATTCCTGTTTTCCCATGACAAAAAACTCTGTGAGGACCCTTTACTAATAAGAAAGCTTGTGTGGGATGAATTTAATGAAAAAGTTTGGACAGGACTGCAAATCTGCTATTAGAGGTAAACTTTTGATGATATCATAATCTTTGGAATGCTAAAAAATACGACAGATGACATTTTACAGAGGAAGTTTCACTATGAACGAATTTGATCGTTCATTTAATATGACTCCTGCCTATAATTTATGGTAAAATTACCTTTTTCTTCTATCATCATCACTATCAAAACTAGATTCATCAGACGATTGACTGTAGCGTCTCCTAGAGGCCGATGCTTTTGCAGGCGCTTTTCTCTTGACATTTGCTTTGGCTGTTGGCCTTTGCCGTATTGATTTACTTTTGGGAACTTCTTCTTTGTCTGTCTCACTATCGTAATCTGTCGAGTCTGAATTCCAGTTCCTGGAAAAAGAAGAAAAAAATACAATTGGACCAAATAGAAATTGAAGTTTACCGGTGAAAGGACATCTTTGAGAAATATCTGTTCACGGCAAAACACATTTATAGCATTAAGACAGCGAAGTTGCAAAATTAGGAATGTAATTCTGCACAAATATGTCAAATCATTATAAAAACATGACAATGTATTTTCAAAGATACACAGATGCTGTATGACTGATTTTTAAAACAAATGCCGATTGTACAATACGCCCTTGTGCAGAATAACTCTGCAATTCAGGAGTAAATTCATCCAAAAGAGGATTACAATATCATCTACACATGATGGTTTCTATTTACTCAAGCAAGGCATTATTATTAGGTGATTTAGAGAAGAGCTATTTCTAAAAAACAAAGAAAAAAATGTATTCTGGAAGTAACAGACTTGAAATTTTCACAATTTCTAATAGTAAACCTGCTGTAGTTTTTTAACTAAAAAAGGATGAATGAGGGGAGGATCTTAAAGTATTTGAGAAACTTACAGTTTTGTTTTTTTGGAGGATCCCCTACTTCGTGTTTTCTGCCGGTCACCTGAATCACTTTCTTCTATCCTCAACCTTTCTGGTTCTTTGCGAGATCTACTTGATCTCCTAATTCCATATACGTCCGGATTATCTTCCCAAAACTAAAATCAAGAACAAAAAAAGAGATTACACATGGTGATAATTGGTTTGATCAAATAAAAAGATGGGAAAAAAATCACTCATTAGAATTTAACAGTAAGAGAGAAAAAATCAGGTTTTTAATGTTTTTCCTCAAGGGTCAATTACTACAGAGGAGGTACAGCAAAGTATTCAGGAAGCAGTCATCATTTTTTTAACAGTGTTAACACTATGCCACGATGTTAAATATTTGCAGCGATGCACTTTAAGTCTTTTCAAAAATTGAATTGTTCCACTATGGTATGGTGCTGCAAATTTTTATCAGTTGTCTTTTTTGAAAAAATGATTACCAACATTTTTAAAATTTCCGAAAAAAATTCGGACTTGATGCTTTTCAAAAAGACACAACATAGATTTGTGTATCTCAGAATCTAAGGGCCAAAATTAATTCATGTCGCAGAGGTCTAAAATACTCTCACGATCTTGGTGAGAAGATTTTTTTTTTTTTTTTAAAAAAAAAAATGAGTCTCATGAATTTGAAAATTGTCTACCTACCCACATAACTTGTGAGCTATTATACAGATTGATAAGACTTAGACATTTTTTTTCTGACTTTGCCTTCATAATATTCAAAGATTTTTTTTAGAGTAGGATACTTTGGGATATTCAGAAGATGAAGCATACAGTAGTTTACAAAAGCAATTGCGACAAATCAGGTAACGAAGAACTCCCGACTGACAAAAACAGGAAAAACAGCTGAGACTTACCTGCTTTTTTTGGTTTCGAGAATTCCGAGAATTAGAAGAACCTTTTTGAGGGGTTGTTTTTGAAGAACTCGGTGATGAAGCAGAATTTGACTCACTAAGAGGGCAAAAATATACATTAAGAATTAAAAATGAAGAAAACTTCATACACAGAAAAAAACATTTTTTATAATTCTAAGACAAGCTCGAAATATATGAGAGGCTGAGAAAAAGGCAGGATAACCAGTCATATAGAAGGCACTAGAAAGCCTGATAGTGTTGCGAAAAAGCTCTGTTTGATATAGACATTTTACATCGGTATATCCTTCCTTAAAGATACATTTATGAAAGAAAACTTCTTCAAGAGGCCACCACGCAAATCCAAAGTTATCTGAATGATACAGTCCACGCCAAATAAGCGGATGAATTCTGTTATGGAATGAAACAAAAGATCTGCTACGTAATGGGTCAGTTGCGCGGGTCACAGAATCGTCTTTTAATGCTTGTTTCTTATTGATTAGCTAAAAATAATATCTGTTCAAACCGCAACTTCATACATTCAATATGACCAAGATATCGCCCTTTGAAAAGTCGGGTTTTTGACGTCATCCACCGCGGTAGTGACACCCTTGGTTTCTTCCACCAATTGCTCTCATCCGAGTTTCACGGTGAGTAACCAGTGCAAATGTGTGTTTCCCTGATTGATGAAAGCAAGGGGGAAGAAACCAAGGGTGTCACTACCGCTGTGGATGACATCAAAAACCGGACTTTTCAAAACGCGATATCTCGGCTAATATTGAACGTAGAAAGATGCGGTTTGGACAGATCTTAATATTTTTAGCTAATCTACAAGAATCAAGCACCAAGACACAATTCTGGGACCAACACAACTAGCCCATTCTTGCATTTATTTTCAATGCTAAACTGATGACACAATCTTCCTATGATCGGCGTAGCCTCCAACCTCATTTTAATCTCAATTTCAGGATCATGAAGGGGTCTTATTTCAATCAATTCACGCACAAATACATTCAAAGAGAAGAGAAAAGAAAGAGAAGGAATGAACCAACAAAATTTACCTTCCAGAGCCTGACTGCTCTTCAGCGGATGAAGCCTCGGATTTAGATTCATTCTCTGAACCATCGTTGCTTTCATCATCTGATCCTCGATTACTACTATCTTCGTTCTTGTTCTTCGAGCTGTTATGACTCGGAGGTGAGTTATGAGTGCTCTTGTCCGATTCGCTTTCACTCCCACTGCCTGAGTCGTTCTCATTTTCATTATTGCTTTCGACCGAATGACTTTTCTCCGATCCACTTTGATCCGAGGCATTGCTTTTGTCCGACTCAGAGCCGGAGTCCTCTGCTGATCCTTCCTGCAACAGCAAATTGTCACAAGTCTCATTGTAAGTATTTATTTACATACACACACGGCATACACATGAATGACAAATTAGAATGCAATTTTGGCAACACATCGAGGTAGGTAGAATTGCGTATCCACAAAATGAAGGAGAATTCCTTTTCGGCTGGCGCAGAGACTTTAACGCAGGAGCAGAAAAGTTGAACGAGTCGAAACGCGCGATACATCGAAGTAGGTAAAATTGTGTATCCACGAAATGAAGGAGAATTCCTATTCGGCTGGCGCAGAGACTTTAACGCAGGAGCAGAAAAGTTGAACGAGTCGATACGCGTGATACATCCAAGTACGTAAAATTGCGTATCCACGAAATGAACGCGAATTCCTTTCCGGCTGGCGCAAAGACTTTAACGCAGGAGTAGAAAAGTTGGATGAGACAAAATCCGTGATAAAACAATTTCGTCCTCCAAGAAGGTAAAATTGCACGTCCATAAAATGAAGGAGAACGCGAACTCTTTTCAGCTGACTCATCAGAGGCTTATTGTTAGACCCAGGAGTAAAAAGTTGGACGAAGCGAAACACTTAATACAATATTTTGACTGCCAAGAAGAAAAAATTGCATATTCATAAAATGAAGGAGAACATGGTGTTATGTATCATCCTAACTATTCAATTCAATCAGTAGCAGGTTACAAGATGACATGCCTTAAAAAAGACCAGAAAGGGTTAACAGTTGGAAAATCAGTGATGTTTTAGTGAATAGCGGATGTCAGAAATCCCCTGAGTTTTTCCACGAATTCTCTGACAGGGTGTCAAGCGATTTACAAAGATAAAATTCCCTGACATTACCCTAATTTCCCTGACAAAAACAGCCAAAAAACCGGGGAAAAATTGAAAATTCCCTGACAGACGAAAAAAATGATTCCCTGACAACAAAAAAAAGTACTCTCGATTTTACAACACGGTTGAACTGATCGGATGTGAGTAAGAATTTATTCGTGTTTTAGGGATATAATGTAATAAACAGAGCAAGGTATATGGTGCCTAAACTTGTACGAGATGAGATACATTTGCCTCATTTTTAACATTTAAAAGACACCAGGGGCAAAATTCTGGTACAAATTTTAGTATCGATTCCATTCATGTCTGAAACTTGATTCATCATCCATTTTCAACAACAAAATATCCGTGTTTTTCGATTTCCCTGACACGGAACTCGCTTGCAAAATAAGATTCCCTGACAAGCCGAATTTTTGCAGACTCCCTGATTTCCCTGACATTTCCCGGTTTCTCAGGTTGCTAGACACCCTGCTTTCCCGATCGTCGCAAAGTCCCCGATTTTCAAGACAGCCGGCGACGATCGGATAAGAGTCACTGTCAAAAGTAAGAGGGTTTTTCCGATAAAAATATGAACGGCAGCAATAACCTGCGATCAAAAAGAGAACCCAAGCTCAGTTTCTCCCTTCGATCAGTGAGTGAAGGAAGAGAGGGGTGATACACCCCCTCCCTCGCTGAATATCGTGCGGTGGTGGTGATGCCAGTCCCTCAGGGGGTGCATCTGCCACTGTGGATGCGAGGACTCTTTTTGATTTCTCTTTTGATCCAGCCGGTCGATTATTGAAATTTATAGACAAAGCTATAGACAAGGAAGACAAAAGGGATCCTATTGGTGGAAGCGGGTGGTTGCAATGGACAAAGGAGGCAGGTAATAGATAACTAACGGCAACCCACAAGAGAACCGACAGTTAGTCTATCGTTTTCCCTCTTCGTCTGCGAGGACCACTAGTTTCAACCGATGGGATCGCTCCATACTCCCTATGTTTTCTTTGTCTATAGCTTTGTCTATCAATTTCAATAATCAGCCCGCAGGATTTCAAATCAAGAGAGAGATAATCCTCTGCCGCAAGCTAAAATGACGTCCGCTCTGCTGTTCTGTCGTGCTGAAGAAAAACGCCGTAAAAGCATTCGAGAGTTGCCAAATTTCCGTAGATAAAATGATCATTTTTGGGGAAAGTGATAAATATTTTTTCTTGATAATTTCTGACACATCGGATAAAATTACGAAGAAAATTCTCTGAAAATTGGAAGAAGAGTTTTCATAGGAGTTTCCAGGAAATTCGTGTTTTATCAAAGGAAACTTAGCAACGCCCGAGGGTTCATACAGCGCTCTTCCTTATTACGGCTAGTGGGGCCGATAAGCATAACAATCGTGCACTTCTGGAAGAAAGCATGAAAATTTCAGGGATTCATCTCTACCCTATAGACATTCGATTCAGACATAGACCCCAAAAATCTGAGCCCCCTGGGGGGGCAGGGGGGCCCCCAAATTTTGAATTTTGAATAACTACTGAACGGCTAATGTTAGCGTAATTTTTTTTAAGCAGGACAATAGGAAATTTTATCAGGAACAAAAATGGTTCTTATGAATTTTTCTGTGGGATCGACATTTAAGGCGTGAAACGGGAAAAACCATCGGGGGACGGGGAGCCGGCCGTTCTGAGGCAGATCCGCGCGCTGCGCTGTTTGCCCGGGACGTGCGCGGCGGCGCAGTACGGTGTTACCGACGAAATAGCCGCTTGTCTTGGTTTAATCTCAACGATGCGCAGTTTTAAAAGTATTGTGAATATATCGTACTACCTATAAAGCCTTAAAATAGGGCTTAACTTATGCAGGTAATATATGTATACAAGCGAGCGCACGGCAACAGAAAGAGAATGGGTTAAGTGCTGGAGTTCCGAATTCTTTTGTTGTATGGGTTTGTCAAGTTTTATTACAGCATCCGAGATAACTGCATCAGACATCAGTTGAACGGAACCAAATCTGAGGCACAGTTGTCTCGGTAAAGGGGGGGGGGGGCTAAAAGTCACAAATCTTATTTGTGTACCACGATGACCTGAAAAATGATTTTAAAGTGTTTTTCTTTCTCTTTCTCTCGGTGCTGCGACATCAAGATGGTATCTAAATATGCTTACTTAAGACAGGGAGCCTAATTTTGTAAACAATGAGCATACATAATAACATGCTTGCTTATTCTCCTCTCTTTCAAGAACATTTTGGTACATCATTGCTACGTATAGGCATTTTTTTAAGAGGACCAAAACCACCTTCAAAACTTGCTCCAAAAAAACGGCAAAAGAATCTTGAGAAAGCTTGATAGGGATAAATGACCCCCAAAAAACCTTTGTTGGACTGCTTCTTGTACAGTACAAAGGATATTATTAAGTAATAACTAGTCGCCGTATCCGCTAATCTGTCGAAACGGTCCATTTGAGTGATAGGAAGTCGCGCCTAAGTACTGGGAACCTATCCTGCTCTTATGTCAGCGCATCACAGGTACAATATTCCGCAATCTCGGTAATTTTGCAACTGATTACTGATTGCTAATTTTGACTGATTTTTTGATATTTTGACGATAAATTAACCTTTTGATAATCTCTAAAGCTAATTCGATCAGTGTTATAATGTACGATAAAGTTTAAGGTGTACGTTTTGTGCATTGCATATTTTGCAAGTCCCGTTTCTTGAAAATTGTCTCCGACATACTTACCTAGAACTCTTCCATGAGCTCCATACAAATCAAAAATCGGTACGAGATTTGCGGATTGAAAAAGAAAAAATGCAATGAATTTCTTCCTGAGGCCTGGTCCTTCTCAGAGGTTCTTTAAAGAATCAGAACCTGCATGATAAAATAAATTTCCTCCTATATTAATATTTTTTTCAAAACAAATGTTACCAACTCCACTCTAAATTCCATACAACAAAATGTAAAGATAATATACATGGATTTTTTTTACTGCTCATTCCAGTTTCTATGTGTCGTGGTAAGTACCAATAATATCTTCAAGGATGACTCGATAAAAAGAGGTGATAGTATTCAGATATCTTCTTTTTTATCATTTATTTAATGTATTGTTCTATTTTTTTTAAATATGCATATTTGTTGAATAACTGAAAAAATAGGGAGTTCATGAAAATGAAAACTTCTATTGACTGGCTGGAGGGAAAAACAGGAGAAAAGAACATTGTCGGAATGTTCCGTATGAATCAGTACCTATGCAATTGCGTGAAACCAATGAACATGAACGAAAAACGATATTTCCTTCATTTTGAAGGAAATCTGGTAACCTTATAGTAGCGAAGGGACTGTAGAGCCCCCCTCCCCTCCCTCCACACTCCTCAATTAATATCTCTACCAAGTTTTGCAAAATTCATGGTTATGTAAGCAGCTCATTGTCTCATTCGCCGAAAGTAACATGAAAAATAAGCTAAAAATAAGTTACGAAGGATCCGCCATTTCCAATAGTCATGAAAAAGTGGGTCAAAATCGTATTAAAACTTGTTATTTCGCGCTAATATCTTAAAAAAATGTAATCCTGTACAAAACTTACGTGAGGAAAGGGTAATTTACTCTGTATTGAGGTCGGAAAAGCTCTGCATTCAGAGAAAACAAGACGCGTGATGCGCGATGACCGATCCCTCCTATTGACTCGGCGCTCTCACATTGGAGTATTTCGCTTTTGCTTGTTTTTATGTATTACTAGTAAAAAGTAGAGCTTATATTACTGAGGAAAAGTATTTAGGCAGTACGGTAAATTCATTATTATTTTTAAAACTGCGCATCCTTGAGATTAAACCAAGACAAGCGGCTGTTTCGTCGGTAACACCGTACTGCGCCGCCGCGCGCGTCCCGGGCAAACAGCGCAGCGCGCGGATCTGCCTCAGAACGGCCGGCTCCCCGTCCCCCAATGGTTTTTCCCGTTTCACGCCTTAAATATCGATCCCACAGAAAAATTCATAAGAACCATTTTTGTTCCTGATAAAATTTCCTATCGTCTTGTTTAAAAAAAATTACGCTAACATTAGCTGTTCAGTAGTTATTCAAAATTCAAAATTTGGGGGCCCCCCTGCCCCCCCAGGGGGCTCAGATTTTTGGGGTCTATGTCTGAATCGAATGTCTATAGGATAGAGATGAATCCCTGAAATTTTCATGCTTTCTTCCAGAAGTGCACGATTCTT